GTGGCCAAGAAGGCCAATGGCATCCTGGCCTGCATCAAGAACAGTGTGGCCAGCAGGAGCAGGGAAGTGATCCTTCCCCTGTACTCTGCGTTGGTGAGGCCACACCTTGAGTATTGTGTTCAGCTCTGGGCCCCTCAGTTCAGGAAGGACATTGAGGTGCTGGAGCGGGTCCAGAGAAGAGCAACAAGGTTGGTGAAGGGACTTGAGCACAAGTCCTGTGAGGAGAGGCTGAGGGAGCTGGGGTTGTTTAGTCTGGAGAAGAGAAGGCTTAGAGGTGACCTCATCACTCTCTTCAACTACCTGAAGGGAGGTTATAGCCAGGTGGGGGTTGGTCTCTTCTCCCAGGCAACCAACAATAGGACAAGGGGACATGGGCTCAAACCCTGCCAGGGGAGGTTTAGGTTAGATGTTAGGAAGAAATTCTTTACAGAGAGGGTAATCAGGCATTGGAACGGCCTACCCAGAGAGGTGGTGGATTCACCATCCCTGGAGGTTTTTAAGCAGAGATTGGATGTGGCCCTTAGTGCCATGATATAGTAATTGGAGTTGGATCAGGGGTTGAACTTGATGATCTTGGAGGTCTTTTCCAACCCAATCTATTCTATGATTCTATGATTCTATGAAAGCTTGGTAAGATCAGTATGTCCGGAAAAGATAAGCACTGGAACAGGTTGCCCAGAGAGGATGTGGAGTCTTCCCCCATTCAAGAACCGTCAGTGTAATCTTGTGCAATGTGCACTTTGAATCTTCTGGTAGTCCTGTAGGCTGTTCCTGAAAAAAATAATAAACCTTTCCTTGTTTTCACAGTTGAGAGGAAAGGGAAACGGAGAATCCGGACAACATTCACAGCTGAGCAGCTCCAGGAACTGGAGAGGATTTTCCAAGTGACTCACTACCCAGATGTCCATATCCGCAATCAACTGGCAGCAAAGATAAAACTCCCTGAAGCCAGAGTTCAGGTATATTGTGTCTCCAAAAGGCTATGTTCGCAGCAGCAATTCATTATTCAGAGTACATTCTTAATAGTTTATGCCTGGGTGACAATGCTAATGAATTACGTGACCTCTCTCTTACCTTACAGAGAAGGCCAGTATCACTGTTCTCCTTTTACAAACACGGAAGAAGTATTTGTCACCCAGCTGTGACTAACCAAATGGGATTTATCAAAGGGTTAACAGGAGCTCTAAGCACACTAAATACATAGCAAATAGGAGTTACAGATGGTTATGAGCAACCTGTTGGACTCTGTAGTGACAGAGCGGCCATTTCTGAAAATATTTATTAATCATTTATCAACCACTTATGGGCTAATATTCATCCAGTATAAACTGTCATCCACATCCATCTTCCACAGGGTCTCAAAAAATGTGAAAATAGCTGCCCAAATGGAAATGCTTTTTTAGTGTTCTGTATTTTGATATCACAGGCTATAAATGCCCTGGTTGTAATTTCAGTGCACAGAAAGTAATCCAGTTTCCCTCAGTTATAATATAGTCTTGCTGACTGAGCTAAAAATTGACCCCAGATGTTTAATGCATACAAGATCTGTGACATTAAAATACACGAAACCTGGGACATTAAAATATACATGCCCCTGTGTATTGGCATTTGGTGCTGTTTATTAGGCAGTGTCGAGATGATTTTTGCACAAGGCAGTTTCTTGCCATAATTGTAGAATCACTGGTGCACTTCTATGCACATATCCCACTCTAACAATCAAAGTTCAACATGAAGCAGTTTATTGACTATGATATGCCTGGGGCTGTTGACTAACCGTGATGATATTGCTTCATAGTTAGGTGACAGGGAGAATTGGAACTGCATAGCCACAATATGCCTATTAGTGATATCAATGCATCAACAATGCATTTCCAATGGCATAAAGCACAAGCTGGGCTACTAGGCAGAGTTCCCAACAGAACAACGAATCACATGAAAGAACAGGGCACTTTTCTGTTTAAAAAAATTGTTTATAATCTGTATGGGGAAAAATAAAAACGAGTTGTTATGGGAATCATCAACCTGGCATGTAAATGAAGGAAGTAAAAAGCCCCTGATGTATGAATTGCAGGTGACGAATACCCAATTCAGATAGGGTTGCACATGGCACAGGAAATTCTGTGTTTGACTACACCTTGGCTGCTAAAGGGAAATCAGCCACGGAACTGAAAATTAGCAGTGACTTAGATGCAAGTTACAAGTTGTTATAATTTTAATTGATTGCATTTGTCACATATAAACCAAATAGCATGCTGAGAATTCACATGTGCTCTTGGTACTTCGAAATAATAGTTTTGACAAAGTTGAAGTGACGTAAGTCAAATTCCCTCAGAAAGATAATTTAACTGGGGAAAAAAATGTGAACAACCATCAGGTAACCAAATAAAACATTTTGTAACTGTGAAAAAGCTTGTGTCCTCCAAACAATAAAAAAGATTTGATTGCTGTGAAACAGCTTAAGTGAATAGATGAAATTGTATCGCTGCATGTGTGCATGCCTACACGCAAGAGAAAATGAAGAATGCTGGGTGAGTAAACATTAGAAACAAGAAATTAAAAAAAAAAAATTAATAAGCAAAGCAGGATTCAGGCCAAAGTTTTGGTCAGAAGAATTCTAGCTCAAAAACTCAATAAAAGTCAATTAAGAACAAAAAAACAAACCCAAAAGTAATCAGTTATATTGACCTGTTACTTTATCGGAACACTAGGACTGTCAAAGATATGGCATAAATAGGAAAGATGTTCAGTCATAATTTCTGCTCTATCCTTGGAAATATGTCAGGTAAGGTGGTAACACTTTCTGTAAGGACAATGTTGAACAGCAGCTGCTACAGAGAGATATTTTTAAATCCAGACATCTAAGTGACTTACCTCCAGTAGTTCTTAAGAAGCTGCTTGAGAAGCACTTTGGAT